TCCTGGCCCATGACAGCGACTCCGAGAGTAAGTCTACACAGCAAAGAAAAACCTGTGGCTGGCCCATGCCAGCCCACTCACAGGGCTCGTGCTGCGGGGTTGTTTCACTGTTGTGGAGACTTCCAGTCTTGGGCTGCAGCCCGGGCTCAAGGGTCCCTGCGAGGTGGAAAGGTCCCGGAGTTTGGGCTCCAGCCAAGCCCAGAAGTCTTACACAGCAATGAAACAGCCCCACCGCCCAAGTCAGCTAGCACAGGCCAACCGCAGGTGTCTAGCTGATGTGTAGACATACTCCTAGGTGCAGGAGTGATGGAAGCTCCCTAAAAGTGTGGGGGGGGGCACCAGCGCCCAAACTGTGGCCCCCGCCATCCCTTCTTCTGAGGCCCTTTTAAAAGTGATGGGGCCATGGCCCCCTGGCCCACACTGTTCCAGCGCCCCACCTACATGCGATCACTATAGAAATAATACTATTAATTGTCACTGATAACAAAATTCCAGGTGAAATTGGTAAAACTTCCATTGGCTTCAGTGGGGCCTAGATTTCACCCCCAGTCTGTAAAAGGCTTTGAAATCCTTTGTAGGGAAGGTGCTATAGAAGAATAGGTGCTACTGTTAGTAGAGATGGTCAAAAATATAAGTATATTCACAGAAAAATGGGAAAAATTAACTTTTGTTAAAAAAAATTTGTAGTGCCATTTTCCACTATTTTTATGGAATGAGGGGGTGGGAAACTCCCCCAATTCTTTTTCATTTTTTACACTAGAGAAGAGGGCAGCAAAAAAACAAAAGTGTTTTTTTTTTCACCCTCAGAACAAAACAAAGATTGCTGGGGGAAAAAAATTACTTTTTTCTTCATTTTTTTTATTCAAACTTCATCAAAAAGCAGAACATTTCAGATACAAGGAAAAATATTGTGAAAATGTTCATTCTGGCAGAAAAGGCATTTCTGTCAGTGAAAAGTACTTTGATTAACATGTGTCAGGTCTAAATATCAGTTGTTATTTAAGGAAGTGCAGCCCTGGGGAGATAGTCTCCTAGTGCAGAGCACATACCCCCACATTTCCCTGGATTTGGGTGTCTTTTCACAAGTCAGAATTGTGGTAGTGTCTGAGGGCACCCTGCTGAGCTAAGTGTTTTAAACCTTATGCAGCTCTGACCGTCATTGAGAAATGTAAGTATAAGGTGCACATTAATATGCAAACAATGGCTTGTTTCCGGCAAAGCTGAGATGGGTGTTGCTGACAAACGCACTCATTTTTGTAGCGTTCCAATTCCCCCCTCCCCCCAAACATACACACATGTGGTTTCTCAAGAGCTTTTTGTGCTTTCCCTGGGATTTGAGTTCCTATCTCAGGTAAGAAGCAGCAAGAGGATCAGCCGTCTCTGTTTGATTGCAGCTGCGATTAATCTGCAGGAAACATACGCCAACAAATTATATTAAGTACCAAGCACAATAAAACTTGCCAGGTAAACACTTCACTACTAGACAGTGGAAAGGTTTCATCCCAGCTGCCACTTCACGGTCCCAGGGTATAGCATTAATAGAGGCGAGTTGTAATGGTCTGGAACCACATCTGGGCATGATGGAGACTTCACAATGGAAAGAGGCTATTTCCAACTCCCATCCTCCAACATTTCACCCTTTTCATTTCAGTTTCATGATCATCATTACGTTAATTACTTATTAAGTATGATCACTGTTGTGACAAATGTCTGCTCTGCTCTTTACAAATAAGTCTGCAGATGAGGGTCATAAACTCTTTGGGTTAGGCACTAAACAGGATCCTGCACTCTAAGTATTTTAATAAAAGTAATTAATGATACTCTGCCCTTCTATAGCACCAGTCACCCAAAGATCCCAAAGCTCTTTAAATGTTAAATAAACCTCACCACTTCCTTACTCTATCCATTAAAAACCTGGAAAAACAGAGGCACCGAGAGATTAAATGGTCATTAAATGAGTCAGTTACAGGTCCTAGAATGGGACCCAGGAATCCTGACAAAGTCTTACGCTCTAAAAACAATCCCACCATCACCAATGTTCGTCCCATTGTTTCTTACACTGAGCAAGGTCACTTGACAAAACAAAGGGCACGTACTTGACTAATAACATCTCATCACAGTTGGATATTTATTTCGTGCCTGATTTCAACAAACACAGAGAAACTGGGAATGATCACAGGAATTGTTGGGTCCAGTTTGAAAGACGATGTTTTCATGCTATATGTGTACAGTGCCTAGCACAATGGAGCCCTGATCTCTGACAGATGCAATCACAAGACAAATATTAATTCATAATAATAATTACAAAGAGTCAAACACTTTTACCAGTGAAAAATATCTATGCTCTCTCGTGAATTTTAGCTCATGCTGACAGCCTTCCCCAAGATTATCCCACTGGGAATTACATTGGCCAGTGACCCCAGCCGGGGCAAATGTCAGTTCAAAGGGGAAAAGGGTCATTTTGCTCTTCCTTTTGAGCTTCTCTCTCTACCACTTAGGGGCAAATGCCAAGGTGTGAAAGCCAGCTGATAATGGCTAACGTTGCAACTCTGACCGGTGGCAACTGTCATTCATGTGTGGTGAAACCTGCTAACCTAAGTCAGTACTCAGATAGAGATCTGTTCTTTTTAAAAGCCCTTCTATTAGTCCAGGTTAATATTACTCCAGGAGCCTTATGTGAAAGTAAACTTCAAGGAAGGTGGTACCTTTAGGTGCAGTGTTACCTTTCTTCACTTTCTATACTGCATGTACCTCACAGAATACATTCTAAACTGTATTGTTCCAAACCCATGACCTACCCCCTGGTTTAACTTGCAGATAAGCAATGCATGTGCACTGCATGAAATGACCACACTGTGCCTTTAACTGTTGCCTTGCTGTATGGAGATTGCCTACCTAACTCCAGCTACTATGGTGATCGGGGCTGTAGAAAAACACCTGCTTTTGGGGAAATCTAGAATTTTTGTTGGCTCAGAAAAAAGGTAAAAGGAATCACCTTGTAATGGTCTAAGGAATTTTCTTTTAGAATCTATTTTTGTCTTTAAAATGAGACACTGTCCCACCCTGACATCAGAGACTCAGGGGAAATAAATTATTGGCAAATCTAGTCCATTCCCATGGGACTGTGCAGGATTTTTCCCTCCAGTATTTTGCTAGTACTCCGTCCCGTCTACTTTTTAAAATCTCAAGCGACAGGGCTCTCTCCTCCTTCACTTCCTTGCAACTTACAGCACAAGAATAGTGACACAAACAAAACAAATCCTTAGTGTCTTGGACATTCTTGGTTCAGGGCTTTTTTAAGTCCAGTCCCATTCTTCCCTGGGTTAAAGAGGAGATATTTTCTTACAATATAGAAGCTGCAGGTTTGCAAAACAAAATATGATGAAGCATGAGAATAATTGCACAGTGCCAATAGCAGCTAAAGTGAGAGAGAAATCCAGAGAGCTAAATGACTGACATTGTTAGCTCCTGTACACCTAACGCTGGAGATATACCTATCTCATAGAACTAGAAGGGACCTTGAAAGGTCATCAGGTCCAGTCCTCTGCCTTCACTAGCAGGACCAATTTTTTTTTGCCCCAGATCCCTAAATGGCCCCCTCAAGGATTGAACTCACAACCCTGGGTTTAGGGGGCCAATGCTCAAACCACTGAGCTATCTCTCCCCCCTTTGAACAGTCTCTAGTATTCAGTCTGTGTGCTACCTGCATCATCGCTGGTTTCAGTTGTCAAAACAAATCACATCACATTTAATTCTTTTTAGCAGCACCTCTTCTGCTCCTCAAAAAAAAACAAAAAACCACCAACAACAACAACCTTTTCTATCTCAAGTGACACAAAAAGCATGATTTGTTCCCAATGTGGCATCATGTTTTTAATATATTTGGTGCATGTTTTGATGCCATTCACTGTATCCTAGTGGTTAGCAGCACCGTCCAGCATTACTTGCTAAATCTGCCCCCAAAGATCACAGGAAAACAAAAACACATTACAAGGAGAACATCTACCCCTCGGAGACTTGAGACAATCCAGACTTCAATGATCTAGATAGGTTTTTAGAAACCTCTGCAGATAATCCCCCATGTGCAAGTCAAACAAACGCTGGAAATAACAAACCCTGTACAATTCCACTGCGAAAATGTTGCATGTCCACATTTTAAATGTAAGGCTATATACTCACTAGGGCAGACTCGCACATACACATAGGATTCATGACACTCTACACAAGCAGAAGACCTGTTCTATTGGGTCCACATTTTTTGCAGGGGGTGGGGAGGGAGAACCCAGAAAATTGATCTGACAGGTTGGGGAATCTGAAATCTTGTTTTATTTTCCAGAGTCCCTTCTACTAGTTTGGGGCATTAAATGGAGTTAGACGGGATCTTCAAAAATCTTCCAAAGAGCCACAGTTTTATCCCATGTGGAACCTTATCACTGAAGCAGCAGCATCTGGATTTTCAAAGGGATTAAAGATTTCTCTGGATAACAAGACTATCTAGGGTTATAACCCTCAATATTAAACATAAACACTCATCTTGGACCAGATACAAACCCTCCACGGCACAAGCCAGCCACTGACTAATGAGACTGGGGGGAAAGGCTGTCCCAGAACTGCTACTACAGGGTTCCTTGCACCTTCCTCGGATCCATCTGGTCCTGGCCATGGGGTAGATGGACCCCTGGTCTGAACCCCCCTGGGACTCAATCCCCCGTGTCCTTTTTAAACTGCAGCCCTGCCCCAGAAGTAGAGGGAAAAGCCGGTTCTCTTGCTACCCAGCACACACGCCCCTTCTCTGCCTCCAGCGAGGGAGCCGCTCACCCCGAGCATCCCAAAGGCCAGTCCCAGCCCGCCCCCAGAAAGTTGGCTCCTCTCTTTAAAAGCAAAGAAAGCCGAGGGGACCGACCCCCAGCCAGCCGCCCTCTCGGCCGGGCTAGCCCCGAGCGCCGAGGGCAGAGGGGGAGCGAGGAAGCCGGGTCCGAGCAGGGGCTTTGGCTACTCACCTGCGAGGATCAGCAAGGCAAAGTAACAGACCCCCCTCATCCTATTGACTCTGGGCAGATCCGGGCCGGGGGCGGGCTTCGCTTCGCCCCCTCGGGGGGTCCAGCCGGCGCGGCAAGGCTCGGGAGGGTTAATCCCCCCGGGGCACCCCGCTCTGTGCCGGGGCACGGGCGCTGGCCGGCAGGGACCCCGGGTCCTGCTGGGGCATGGTCCCCCTGCAGCCCGCCGCGCGCCGCTCGCCGCTGCCCGCCGGCTGCTCCCGGGGGCCGGGCGGGCTCCACGCGCCAGCCCCGGAGCAGGG